AGGAAGATTCCCGGCAGAAGGGGATGCTCGTCCCATGCGTTTCCCCTCCCTTTCCCTTAGCAGCGCGTCGGGGCCCCGAGGGGAGGGGGATGTGAACCCCGGGTACCCTTCCCCCTTCCCCTCGCAGTGCCCTGGGAGCCCGGGGGAGAGGGGTCTTGGTCCATGGGCACCCTCCCCCCGCTGCCCCTCGCAGCGTTGGACCCACAGGGCAGGGGACCTACTGCCCCTCTCCCCCAGCAGTGCCCTGGGGACCCGGGGAGGAGGGGATGCCATTCCTCCCTCCACATCCGCACAGCTTGTCCTCTGCAGTGCCTTGGGGACCCGAGAGGTTGCTGGTCCCACGCTGCCCTCCTTTCTCTTTGCAGGGCGGTAGCAGTGACCCAGGAGGAAAGGGATGCTAGTCCCATGCACACCCCCCTCGCCCTTTTCCCTTTGCAGTGCGGCAGGGACCCAGGGGGATGCTAGCTCTATCCACGCGTTCTCCTTTTCGTTTTGCAGTGCAGTGGGGACCCAGGGGGAAGGGGTGCTAGTCTTATGTACGTACATATCTTTCCTATTCCTTTGCAATGCAACAGGAATCCAAGAAGATGCTAGTCCCGTGTGTGCGCTTGTTCCTGTTGCCTTTAAAACACAGCGAGGATTCAAGGGGAAAGGGGATGCTCGTTCAGTCTGCACCCTACCTCCTCTTCCAGTCTCAGGGATGATAGCTGGCTCCCTCTCTAGTTCCTTTAGCTCACCATGTAATATGAACTCAAATGGAGAGAGATGCTAGACCTGTCCCTCCATGTACATGGAGAATCTAACCAGAAAGGGTTTCTGCCTTTCCATTGTCCCTGCTGGGAGTGGAACTGGGATTGTCGCGGTGTCACTGTGTGGAGGGAGAGGGGAAGAGGAAATACTCTGCGTCTTTCTTCATTCTGCCTTGTAGTACAGTGAGGAGGAGCATGGAACAGTGGGAGAGTGTACCATGTGCCCTCTTCTCTCCGTGGTCTCCTAACTGGAATAGAGAATGTGGGGGATTATTTGTGTGGTTCCCCCTTAATATGTAACAGAAGTGGAACAGGGGAGTATAGCACTGGAGTTTCTTTCCCACTGACTAATTAAAATGGAGTTGGGAGAATAATCTATTCTCCTTTTGTGCCTTCATGTGGGTGGGAATGGGTTGGGGAAATGCTGCCAGTGCTTGTATGCAATGAATGAGTTCCTTTCCTTTGTCCTTGATCAGAATTGGGTGGGGAATGACTAAGGTGACATCCTCCTCTTGTCTTCTCACTTGTGCAGGAGGAGTCTAGGTTGTTGTTTTATCACCTCATTTCTCTGGGACAGATAACTGTGAATTAATCCACCTACAGGCTTTCTTTCTAAAGCCTGATGACTTTTCTTTCCCTGTCATTGCTCCCTTAGTAACTTTGAAATTTACTTGAAAAAAAAAATTCACTTGTGGGATCGAACCCTTTCACTTCATGATTTTCAGTCTTTATAACAGTCATCTATGTATGCCTTATTTTATCCTTTACAGCAGG